TTTGAGGAAGTAGTTGGACACCTAGTTTTGGTTTGAATTATAAGAACCCCAGCTTTAATGTTGCTATATTTGACCTTGGTATAAAGAAAATGTCTCTGATCTCAGCGGTAAACCATAACAGCATAATCTTCCATCAAAAAAACAAAATATGAGCTGATAAATTGCAAATGTATTTATCAATATATAGACACATGGTGAATGCGGTTAAATAGTACTGTATCTATATATATCGATATCGACCAAGGGCTCTCATGTGTAGTGTTAGATTCTCTGATGAGGAATCGACAACATTGTAACTGCTGTTGTGAATTAGCGCTATACTAAAGTAAGTTCTAAAGTACTTACATACTAAAGTAAGTTGAATGTGTATACTATATGTACAAAAAATGAATGAGTAAATGACCAGAAAGAAATTTAAGAAATAAGTAGCTAGACCCTTTTGTGATGCTAACCCTCTCCCAGCATGCACCAGAGAGGCTCAAATGTATTCAATGTTGTGGTGGATGTAATAATTGGGCTATTGGGATAAGTGCAGCCAGATCCACGCCAATATAAAACCCTAATTGATTTTTCAACCCAAACGGTTTTGTGCCCCTGGTTAATGCTTCTCATGTGTGTTGTATCCGTAATTGGAAATGATGGCACATTTAAGGCTCAAGTAGCTCGCGTTTAATGATACCACACTGAACCCAGGAGCTTTTAAAGTTCAGCAGACTCCTCTTTGATCAGCGCTAACTTTACAACCGCTATGACACTCAAGCAGCCACCTCTCGCTCACACACACACACACACACACACGCACACACATGCAGCCTCCGCCCGAAAAACAAACCCATTTATGTCAGAAAACAATCTCCCGCTCCTCCGACACATTGGCACACGGCGAAAGAGAAATGTCAGGGTCAGACACAGGCCATTAGCTGTAAGTGAGGTGGTCTCTGTGAACAACACCTCTAATCTAACAGCAGATGAGACCAGGACAGAACAAACACACAAACACACACACACGGCTCCTATGAAGACACCTCTGAGCAATAACTCCACATGGACAACTGCCCGCTAGCTTAGAAAGAGCAGTGCTAAACAAACAGATTTTTAGATGACTATATCGATATTAGATGAATATAATTTTTTCACTTTGTATTTTTCATTTAAAACACTTTCATAACAATATTTAATAAATCATTGAGGTTTTATATGAGGTTTGACATGTCTATATTGGTTCAGATTTGTCAGAGCTGAAGTCGGCTGAATGACATATGTTACTTGGCCAATAGTCCCATAGAAGCAACAAGGAATAAGTGAAAGTGAAGTCAACATCAGCCTTAGTTTGGACATGGTTTAGTGTTTACTGAACCGTATCGTATTGTTTAGAAAAATATTGTATCAAATTGTATTGAATTGAAAGCCCCCTGTATTAGTCATGTATGTTATCACCAGTCCTTCATCATGTCACTGCCAAAAATGATGAACTATTAGTTAAAACATATTCTTTGACTGTATTTCAAGTACAGTTGCAAATCATGTTCGAGGTTAGGTCAAAATGAAAATAAAGCTTTTTTTTATTCTTAAAATACATATATGTGCATTTTAATAGGTCTCAGTATATTGCATGAACCGACAAAAACTCAAACAGATGGAAGTGTTTTCCCTGTAGGACTCTCACATTTATGACACTAACCTTTAGTCCTTGACAGAGATCTGTTTCGTTCTAAATAAAGCAGACATTTGTAACTCGACCAGTTTGTTTTTGTTGTGTTAAGTTCATAATAGTAACATAACAATACCTTGGATTTAAATAGCACCTTGCTTTACAAACTCAGACCACCACCAAACATAGACCAATTAGTCTTATGTGTCCTGCCCAAGGGCACAGCCGAAGAGAGCACCAGAGCTGGGATCAAACGGCAAACCCAAGTGTGAGATGGCTTCTCCACCTGAGCCACAACTAAAAAAAACTAAAAAAACATACATTCACTGGGACTTTTTGGACAGTTTTAGAATAATATTAAAACTACTATTTATGTTGAGAAAATGCAGCTTATTGTTAAAAAAATCAGTAAAGTCTGTCTTGCCGTGGTCCTGAGTTGCAAGTCTAGTTTTTACAATCGAAAGACACCTTGCTAACTTTATGTCATAAATAATACATGTTTTTGTTCCAATAATACATGTTTTTGTTCATAATTATTTCCATTGTTTACATACCCTGAGTGATCCTATTTAAGCCAAATGTACTGTAACATTTCTTCATAGTGAGATCAATTCAATTCAATTCAATACTTTATTTCAAACACAAGAGTAAATGGTCCATACCAGAAAGACATACATAAAAACACATTCAAAAAAGGATTAAAAATAAAAAAATATGTCAATTTGTCTTATCTTATTTCTGTTTTATAAAAGTCTACAGTCCCCTCGTTACTTAGCCATCTTCTGCCTATTCACTGGGGCAGCCCATATGACAGATCTCTCCTTCTCCCCCCTCACCCCTTCATCCCTCGTCCATATCTTACACCTGTGTCCACGACCGCCCGGCCCCTCGCTGGTCTCCGTCTCTCGTCTGCCGCAGATGTCATACCCTTTCAACGATCCCTCACAATGGGACCTATTCAGACAGATTAAATGTATCACAAACTTTCCTTTACCCCCTTTTCACTTCTTACGTTATTGTCCCGCCACGGTTTTAAACACAACGGACCCGTCGCTGGAGCAAAACAAGAAGATCCCTATCAAAAGAAGGTGGGGAGGAGGGGGGTTGTTTTTGTGACCGACGCGTCCTGTTACCACCTATGCTGCGGAGGTGTTTTCTTACCTGATTTGGATTCGTTCACACAATGACGGGGGCTAGATCTCTTGTTTCGCGGTAAGGAGAGTCCAGACAAGACTTTTGTTCGGGCCATCATCGGATACGCGAGCGATGCTTCCCCCCTAAAAACCGGTCTTGGAGCAGCGCCACCAGCTTTGTCCTCCGTCCAATTTTCCCTTTTTGTGGCTGTGAGAAACTATTACGGCTAAATACTCGCTGGTTTAACCGTGTCTTCGTATAAGCTACAATGAGGCTGCTATTGTCCCGCAAAACCCAAGGACAAATCATATCCAAGAACATTTCCGACTCGTGCATTGTCCAGAGTTGAGAAACGCGTGAATATGAATGTGGTATAATCCTTCCATATTCTGTGCTTGGTGAATAAGTCGCACCGTCTCCTCAATGGATGCATTTAACTTCTATGTCAAATATTGGTATAAGTAGTTTATATGTTAAAACTATTTTCTGTGTAAGCTACTTCAGGTATAAAAATAGAATAGAAACATGAAGCCAAAATATCTGGTGTTTTCTATGTGTTTGTATATGTTAGCATTGTTAGCATCTGTGGCTAACCTTATGACATTATGTTTTAAGGTGTTTTGAGCTCATTTTAATTTTTTTTGGGTCAATTGGTTTTGATTTTTTTTTTTTTTTGGTTTTGCTTGGATGGCTGGTTGTTATACATTGGTTTACAGATGATTTTCTTTTTTCAAACAGGTCTGTGGTACTGATTATTTACAGACGCTGCAGTAACTTAAAGATGTGACAGGGGCCAAACATATACTACATGCATGTGGAAACTTAATATACCAAAACAGCTTTGAGAGAGCAAAACAAGAAGATCCCTATCAAAAGAAGTTGGGGAGGAGGGGGTTGTTTTTGTGAACCCTGCCCTGCTGGTTAGTACCGGGATGGGAGACCTCTGGGAACACCAGGAGCCACAGAGGGCCGGCTGTAAAGTGCCAAAGTGTTGTTGTGTCCTTATAGGCAAGACGCTTCACCCACATTGCCTAGAATCAGTCTGGTGTTTGTGTGTGTGTGAATGGTCGGTGGTTGGAGGGGCACATTCTGGTTCTGTCAATGTGACCCAGGGCAGATGTGGCTACAGTAGTAGTTTATCAACACCGTGTATGATGTGAATGAATAAACGCGCTAAATAGAACAAACATAAAAAGAAATAATATACTGTATAACATTATTGCATAGTTAATTTTTTTGGTTTGAAAGCAAAGAACCCCAGCTTTAAGTTTATGTTTAAAGCACACTTACAGTACATTATGTTTCTACTGGACAATTGTTTGAAAAGAATAGGTAGAAGTGCATGCGTATTGGCCCACCTGCTTCAGTTTAGAGTGGTTCCTTGATTTGAGTGCTATGAAATGTCGACAAGTGCCGTTCTAAAGTGAGCAATGCACCTGTACAGTTGCTGATTATGATCTGATTATGCCCATTAGAAATATATGTTGAATAAATAGAGTAAGTGCAACGTAAATGTCGAGGCTAATGCTGCTGCTGAACTGCTGAATGGTCAAAGTAACATATATAGAATACGTCTTTTGGAGAATTTCTATCAGTCAAAGTTCTTGTAATTGATACTAAAGTCATATAAAGTCATGCTGCCAGGCTTTACAGGCAAAGAAATACCACATGTGTTCCAGAGTTGAGTATATTATGAAAAAGATAAATGCTTTATCATTATCATTTTTTCTTTGTAGTAAAATAAACAGTAAAACCATAGTCATATAATCATATTCAACGCCAACAATAGTACTACAGTGTTTTTTCCCTCCAAAATGTCGTCTTGTGTTGATGTCTTTGACCCAATCTTGTCTCATGTTCCATCCTCATTGAAGAGATTGTCAGTAAAGTTGGGTACTATCACTTGTTCTTAGCCCAAGTTTTCTGCACTTGTTTTTTGCTCTCTGTCACATATTTAAGTTAACTTATTTGACCAGGAAAGAGACAAAGTATCAAATAGTGACTAACAGCGGTATTTCTAACAAGTAAGTATAGGATAACATGTTTTCTAATAATATGTTGTGGTCTGATTTCTTCACAACATGGTCTAATTTTGGTGATCATTTATTCAGTTGGGATGAATGACAACATATACTTAGATACCCCAGCTTTAACATATTTATAATCACTGTATAGCATCTTGGCTTCATGCTTGTGTGTACTTTTTTCTCTTCAGGGTTTCTTCCTGACCGTCTCCCCGGAATCCATCCTCAAAGTGGCCAAGCACGCCTCCGAGAACAACAAGATCTTCGGCCTGAACCTGTCGGCGCCCTTCATCAGCCAGTTCTTCAAGGAGCCTCTGATGCAGGTGCTGCCGTACGTGGACATCCTGTTTGGAAACGAGACGGTAAGTGAAGCCAGAGTAACCGGAGAGTCTGTGAGAGATGTTGACGCTTCCACCGCAGCTCCAGGGCTTTGTTAAAGGACTCAGGGTTCATTGGTTATGGAGCGGTGAGAAATTAAAGTGTGTTTAGCTCGACAAAATTCTGAAGTGGTTGGTGTACGTCTGGGGAATATGGGAAATGCAATGTAACAAAGTCTCTCTCTGCTTATCGGAATTATCCCTGAATTTCTCCTACAAGGGGATCAGTAATGTATCCTTCTATCTATCATCGATGTATCTGTCTGTATGTCTTTCTATATCTTATCAAGTTGGGACGTAAAAAGTAGAGTAAGGGATACATTAAATGAAAAATCTACATAATGTTTCTATCAATCAACTATTTATCTCTTGTAAAAGTTGTACAGCTGCCTAATACTGAGGTGGGAGGACCATAAAGTGCAAATCAGCAATTGCACTAATTACTACAGTATTTAGATATCAAATGTCTTGACTTACATGTATAATGTGAAGTCAAAGTTCAGCTTAAAATGTGTGCATGGAGGGCCATAGTTTGGACTTTCCAATTCTAGATTGATAAAACAGAGTCCTGGATTTACAGTTTCAGTCCTGGATCTACAGCCTGAGTCCTGGATCTACAGCCTCAGTCCTGGATCTACAGCCTCAGTCCTGGATCTACAGCCTCAGTCCTGGATCTACAGCCTGAGTCCTGGATCTACAGCCTGAGTCCTGGATCTACAGCCCGAGTCCTGGATCTACAGCCCGAGTCCTGGATCTACAGCCTCAGTCCTGGATCTACAGCCTGAGTCCTGGGCATATCTGCATTTGTGGCCTGCTGACTCCTATTTGGTTTTTATTATTGCATTCCCTGAGTTTGAACGGTTTTATTCTCTGATCTGTTGTTGGTGACGACCTTATAAAATCCTCCGAAACGACAACTGTTGTGATTTAGGGCTATACAAAAATACATTTAATGGAATTCAGAAGCAGCCAATTACCATCTTCCCGTGCAGCCTATAGAGCTGTTTTAAGTGGTTTCTAAATGGAGCATGTTGGATTTCTTCTTGCCCTTCTCAAAGTGTCCCGGATCACCCTTTGTCTCGTAATCTCCGCTTTCACATCCGTTGATTTAGAGCAAATGAGCCTGGATTTTTTTTTTTCTGTCCCCACCTGATCTTGGAATAACATCTTTAACATCTTGGGCCGCTTCACAGAGCTGCCGTCTTCCCTAATTGTAAATCGTCTTCCGCCAAATTAAAAGTCATGTCCAGCGCCTCTCTCCTCAACAGCCATTTAACTTTTCACTTATCGTCGGGCCATAAAGAGATGAATAGGAATTAGCCGGCACCATCCGTCATCCTAATCACAGAGAGGTATATTGATTCGTCCTGTCCGCATGAGTGAGACGAGTGCGGATGCCGGGGTCAGTCGCTGGTCAGACTCAAACGGGAGCTATAGCCGTGCGCGGTTATTGCCGTAGCAACCCCATTAATTGGTCTATTGTCCTTGTCCCCAAGAATCAATGGACTGCGACTCCAGTACGTTATAAGGTTATGTTAAGTGCATGTCTCCCCTTTGGTTTAACTTATGTGTTTGTCTATGACCAGAGAAAGGCCGTGTGATAGACAAGATGGCAGCTACGGCTTCTTGGCTGCTAATCACAGTTGGAACTAATTGATTGTGTTTATGTGACAGCACAACAATCCAAAGAAATTGACATTGTGGTGAAAGGGAGTTTTCTGCTAGCTACTGTACTGTATGTACTGTAAGTCCATCCATCTAGCCATACATTTTTTTCCACTTTCTTTTCCCATGTTGTAGAGAAGATGTCCAGACTTCTCTAACCACATATGTACTTCCAGCTCAAACAAAATAGATTTAAGATACAGTTGATTTACCATTTGCAGTAAAACCACATTGGAATAACTGTGCATGACTACCCCAGTGTGCACCGGATAGTACACATATCGACCATATATATTGATCTTTTTTTTATGAACAGATACAATTTTGATTACAGAAATAAGCACATTGAATAAGCCTTCATCGGTGTAAATGAATTTGTGTCATCTGAATTCTACTGAAAGCCACACAAATCATACACTACATACAGCACTACATCCAGCTTGTACATCTGGAGACTCAAGGGACCATCTTCTCTTGCAACAGCCGAATGTATAAATCAAAACGACCTAAAAAAGTGCAAGAAAAAATTTGACCTTGTATAGGACGGTAATTGACTCTTTTATTGCTGTTTAGTGGCTCTTTGATCACACGACAACTTTGCACGACATAATTCCCCAACGAAAATCTTTACAAAAACTTCCATTATTCCCCACATTCCCAGTCAGACTAACCCCATAACTCTCGCTCTCATCCAAATGCAGTGTAGTGAATGGGAAGTGCCCTCTTACTGTGCTAGCCTCCCCGCTGCTAAAGCTACTAAACAGAACTCAGGAATGGGCTCCACAGATGAGGACATCGTTTGGGGGTTGTGGGGGGGCGGGAGAAAGCGCTCAACATCCCATCCCAGGATTTATTGCCGCTGCTGACTTAAGCTTTTTTCTTGTCGTTTTCTTTCCTCTATTCTCCCAAACATAAGTCTCCCCCCCTTCTCTTTTTACATAAGGCCCGCGCTGCTCCTAATTGCAGTGAAGAACGAGTCTGTCTAGGAGGGTTGAGCTGTACATTTCGCAAGCGGCGTGTTTTTTATGATTTTTTTTGCTCTTTCTGGGTGGCTCTGTACTTGTTTGTGTAAGAAGTTTGCTCACATCTCCAGTCATTACGCTTTAATGGCGGGGGATAATTGCGTTTGGATATTTGCAGAGAGACAATTATCTGTTTGTGTGGCGTCGCAGCGGGGAAATATGTTTGTGGATAAATTGTTTTTACTTTTATTTATCCGTAACAGGTTTTTTTTTTTTTTTTGATTCGACGGGAAAAATTAGCTTATTTTTGTCCTTGCTTTAAGTGTTTTTTTGATTTGTGTGTGGTTTAGCGTCAGATGCAATTTCGCATGCGATCCCCGTCATTTATCCAGGCGTTTTTATCTTTTATGAGCTAGTTTCTTTTAAAGGCGTTTCAGTACAGTAGGTTTTGCCTCATGTTTGGTTGATTGTCATTGATATATTTGTTCAATTCAAAGGTGAAACACAGAAAATTAGAATATTGTGGAAAAACGATAGGATTTGGCACCTACCCACTTCAAAAATGCAGAATACTCAAATTATAGAACTCTCTAGATACTTACAGTTCTATGTACTTCGGCCAATGAAACCAATAAGCGACGCACATGTCTGGGACGTATCGAGACGTTATTTACTCGTTGTGTGTCTTTGCGATATATTTACACCTGCTTCCACGTCAGCTGCGGCTTCTCTAACAGCCCGAACCACTGGAAAACTTACCTCGCGTTCCGCCGGCGTCCAAATTTGCTTTGCCCTTTGGAATCCAAACAAAACCTGCTTATTTTTGTTTTTTTCGCTGATGTGTGTATAGTTAGCTTACAAATTGCACTGGCACATACACTCACACACACACAAACATAAACACACACACACACACACAAACTAGCCTTCATAATTATCCTTTATGTACACGTTTACGAGGCTAACCAGCTCAAACCAAAATAAGAGCGAGAGGAACAGAGGAGATATTGAGATCGGTGTTTTACTTGAGCCGTGCGGAGGTTGACATTGCAGCTCAGACCTCCCATTGTGCGAGGTGGTGTAAGAGGGGGGGTAATGGGGGGGTTTGAGGGGGTATAGGCAGCGGTGCATGGTGGTGAGTGACAGGCACCAGGCCAGTTTAACCCGCAGCTCAACCCCATCGACCTCTGCTGCAGGACGGGGGCGAGAGGAGAGAGATGCTTTTCCAACCTCAGCCAACAGTGGGGTCCTGTCACGGGGGAGTCCAGGGTGGAAGTTTTGAAATCGTCCACGTTGTCACGGTTTTTGGACGACGAAGGGAAGTAACGGAACATACAGGGATAGGGACAGTTAGAAGATTGTTCAAAAGTAATAATTTTTCAGGGCATTTGCCCCGCCCCCTTTTCAGTTGACAAAACTGATATATTTGAAACTGATAAAAGTAAATTCAGACAATATCATCACGTTTATATCATTTATTTCAAATTGCAGAAAACCAGTCAAAAAGTCAAAATGTGTCTGTTTTGGCAGTTTCTTCATAGGAGTCAACTTGAATTCTTTTGTTAATTTATTTTGTGATGTTGTGGGTAGCACTCTCACCTCTCAGCAAGAAGGTCCTGGGTTTGAATCCGGGGCGGAATGGGGTCTTTCTGAGTGGAGTTTGCATGTTCTCCCCGTGCTTGCGTAGATTTCCTCCGGGTACTCCGGTTTCCCCTACCACTAAAAACATGCACACTAGGTTAAATCCTCCAACTCCGGTAGTCCTGACCAAGCCGAGCATCAACGTCTGGAGATGGGTTCCTGGGCGCTGTTACTACGGCGACCACTGCTCCTGACATAAGCCTTAGCGGCATCAGGATGGGTCAAATGCAGATGGTGAATAAAACGGGGATCAATAAAAGTGCACCTTTACCTTTACCTAGTCAACTCATCAACTATAGAACGAGTTTGAGTGGCTGATGGCACAGATCACCACACTCTCTTATCTCAGTCTGCCCCTGGGCTGCTGTGGCTACAACAAAGCCCACCACTTGTTATTTGAATGATTACACTCAATTACAAGCACAGTTTGAGTTGCTTATTAAATCCTAGTAGTACTTTTGTCCTCGCACTAAAGTGCATCCATATGAACCAACTCTGAGGAGCACAGGGACTGGCCTCCGGCTGGGACTCTGAGGAGCACAGGGACTGGCCTCCGGCTGGGACTCTGAGGAGCACAGGGGCTGGCCTCTGGTTGGGACTCTGAGAAGCACAGGGACTGGCCTCCCGTTGGTGCCCAGAGTCAGAACTGAACATGGCGAGTCAGCATTTCAGATTGATGCAGCTAAAATCTGGACCACTCTTCCTGAAAATGTGAGA